CGTGAGGAAACCGTATCTCTGTCCTGATTCTCTCAATGATTCCAGCACTTATGTACTGACAGATTCACTCTAGTTACTGATGGCAATCGTGGTGGACAACGTCACAGTGATGGCAACTTTTTATCTGCATGTTGTTTTTATTCAGTTCACTTTGAAAAAATGATCTAAAATATTGAGCTCCTTTCCTCACACTGCCAGACAAGAATTGTGGGAAGATAACCCCTTCGTATTAAGTATTTTCTTATCGGTGGTACTTATAATTATCTTTACAAAGTCATTGTTATGATAATGTTTTGGCGTCTTGTTTCCACAGGTTTGATTTTTGTGTAATGCCACTCTCGTTCTTTGTAAATAGTCACTCAACACACAAATTAAAATATCCAAACAATGTGTAAGAAATATTGTTGACAAGCATCATGTCACATAAGCTGCTGTTCTGAATAGCCACGTGGTATATTTGCATGAAAATACACATTCAGAAACACAATACATATATACTGAAACGCAAAAGAAATGTCGTAATATTGGAAATGACATTTAAGTATCAATGGAACATTTGAACCTATTTTTTTTAAATAATACGCCACTGAAATGCATTTCCGACAGTCATCAGAGAAGTTAACCCCTCTCCATTGTCCCCCACGACAGTTTTGCCGCTGTTGTGTCCACTTGGATACGTTCCCGGTGTAGACGTTGGGTGAATATGGGTCTCCTGGCAGGACATCAACAAAGCAGGTTCCTGGCTTGGAGACGTCGCCGAATGGTAGGTCACTGACTGGTCGCTGGTGGTTTCCTATGGTCACCCAAGCTGTTTCTCTGGCCCTTGCGAATAGGTCTTTCACGTGTTGATGGACGATATGACGGTCCTGGCGACGTGTTGTTACACGGGGTTGACCACTACGTGGACGGTCATCAGTGCTGCTGGTGGCATTGTATCGCACTCTAAGACGTTCTATCGTTCGTACGCTGCAACTGAAGTCATTAGCAATGACTCGAGCATGTTGACAAGCGTGCAGACGTCCAATAGCTTGTTGTGGTTGATCTCTCGTTAACCTAGTCATAGCTGCTGTGTTCAGAAAACAAGTGAACGATTGCCATTCAAGACGGCAATTTATGCCTGAATGCATTTATGATGCACGTGCATCTCGATTTCAATGTTGTGTTTGTGGGAACTTTTCCCTCTCCAAAAAACAAAAACATTTCTAACTTCAATCTCAAACAATACTTTATTGGGCAATGCAGGCTATACGACCACGATTCATGTTTCCTCAAACTTGACTTCTGGTGTATATTTTTAAAAATAGGTTCAAATACTCCATTGATACTCAAATGACATTTCTAATATTACGACGTTTCTGTTGCCTTTCAGTATATTACCAAGCTGTGTCATTTTCAAATGACAGCACAATATACATTCACTATATTCAGTTAATGTTACTGTTTCCAAGCAACAGACCACGACTAATATTCAACAGTACTTCACCAAAGAAAGTGAACCTATTCACTGTAGGAGCTACTAAATCTTCCTCCCCTCACAAAATCCTTCTACTTGCTCTGCCTTCCTGTGATTCGTGATATTTCCACCATGCTTTGTGTGGATGCCTTCAGCAACACCTGTCTTGGTGACAGAGCTTGACGTGTTGAACGTGGTGACAACACTGAGATCCGAGCTCCACTGTTGTGGGGATCAAGTTGTGGAGATTGCTGTGACAGAGAAGGGGAGAGCAGCCTTGGCTCCTAATAAATCCCGTTGCTGTGTTGTATACTGTACCTCCGATAACTTTCTTATGTCTGATGCTTTTATAACCCTTTAAATCAACCGTAGTATCTATTCTGTCATCATCTTTCTGTCCTCTTGAAACCTCTGTGGTAATGTATCGCCATGTACCATCAACTACAAATCAGCAATGGTCTATCTCCCTGGAACACTGGTTTGTCAACACGAGCAACGATCCAGGGTTCTAGTCACAGTCAGCAAAGTCATTTTACCCATTACCTCTGGGGTATTTGAGGCTTGCCCAGGAACAGAGATACAGGTGAGCAAAACATGTTTCAGTTCAATAATGAAATGTTGGGTATTTTTAAAGTACAACAATAATCAAGATAAACTGTAATTAATGTATTCTTCTTTTTTTTATGTATACTCATACCAATAATGGTTGTCACCTCCCTCCCCCACGTATCTAATAAGCATATTATATGTTGATAATAACCTTCACACTGAAAGGTATGCAGTGGACATTCCAGGAGATAAGGTTTGCAATGGAATTTTAAAGATAACCATCTGGTACCCCTCAGTGCCGTGGCTGTGTTCTACCAGATATGTCGTGTCTGGTGCTGCTGTGTCTGCTGCCCCTTGCTTTGGGGCAGAATATCGTCCAGAATGGAAACATGGAAACAATGGATCATTGGAACTGTTGGAATATACATTGTGAGCTGACCACTGATCATCATAGTGGACATCACGGAATCAAGGCCACGGGCAGGTAAGTAAATGACCACTTCTCCACTCAGTGAAAAGGCGTCGCAACGTTCCAATAACACATTGATGTACTAAGTTATTAACTTATGATTCTAGGTTATGAAACTCTTTTTAATAAGTTCATATACGTTTTCAAACAAATATAATTGTATCTTTAAAACAATGTGGATCTTTAACACTATATGTAACGTTTAAATGAAAATGATACTATTATACAAAAATTGATTCTGTATCTAATATTCAATACTTTTCTGAACAACTAAACAATATTTTTCTGCAGCATAAATGCATTTTATAAACAACATAACTCATGATGATCCAGACCATTGCTCTTTGATTATTTTTTGGCAAATAATACAAGAAACTACAGCATTATTTTGAAATAAATTTGGGCAGCTAGGCCTTATGAAAACATGTCTTTTAAAAGCCATATATTTCAGAAACCATTATTACGAAGGACCTTCACAGACCCTCAATGGCCTTAAGGCTAATGGACGGTACAAGGTCGAAGGATGGGTAAAAATGCTGAATGACAAGGCCGGACAACTGGGACAAAATATAGAGTTGGAGGTGTCCGTTGACCTTACCAGTAGGTTCTGTAGCTCACTTCTCAGTCAAGAGTAAGAAGTTTATTGTGTTAGCGTTTTCATATTGGTATTTCATGTTCATATTGGTAAAGCAATTGAGAGTTGGTATTTTTTTACTTATGATACAGTATTTCACATATTGATTTTTAATGACATACTCTGTTATATAAATGAGATATGGTACGTCTCCGTTTGTTTAGCTAATATTAACGTACATTGTCAACCAATAGGCTTTTCAAAAGATTTAATCGTGTTTAATTTCCGTTAACGTTTTGATGCATCAATGTGTTGCAGATGGAAAGAAAGCATACATCCCTGTTGGCAGCCATCCTCTCGCCAGAGCCTCCGACGGCTGGATTCACCTCATTGGGGACTTCAACGCACCTGCTGATGGTAATGTGGAATTGGTTTAACCAAAGCATACTATATTTGAAAGTATATAAACAACCTAGTGCAGTGCCTTGGCTGTCCCAAGGCGTCAAACGCGATCCAGATCGACCCAAATGAAACAGTGCATTAACAGCTTTTGAAACCTTAATATCATTCGACTTTTTAATTTTTCTATACGTTGATGGTTTACACTGAGCGTTCGTTATTGCTTCCAATTTATTGTACAAAACTGGTGCCCCTGTCACCGAACGACCACCTGTTTGTTTACAGACACCAAGATAAACCAATGATCTCCAACGTGATCAAAAGCGATTCAGTTTTAAAATATATTTAAAGTATTAAAAAGGAAGTCATCCCACTTTCATGAGCATTCTTTGACTGGAAGGTGTGTTTATTTCTTGCAGTGTATTGCACAAAGGTTGCGCCGGTTCTCTTATACGACTGCCTGCCTTTTACGTGCAAACGTTTCAAAATCTCACCTTTTCGTGAACACTTGTCATCATCCCTATTCGAAAGCACATGCTCTAGTCGGATTCGTACAATTCACCTTGCTTTGGGTGGAGATTTGTGCGCGTAAGTGGAAATGGTTTTATCTACATGACACGATTTTGGACATCTGATCTTTCCTTTTCACTTTCAGGTATAAAGTCATCCAGTGTGTATTACCAAGGCCCGTCACCTGGTGTAAACTTCGCAGTCGACTCCGTGTCTATAACTCCCCTGGTAGCCAACACCCACTGGCGTGCAGAATCCGATGCCACCATAGAGAGGATAAGGAAAAGTGACATCAACTTTCAGTAGGTTATGTCAGTCTGTTCTTTTAGCTATATAAATTGCATTGTTCTCATGTCAACGCGACATGAATAGCTTGTGTCCAGGTGACAGAGATGACCTGCTTGTGTCTTATGTATGGTCAGTGACTGTGTCAATGCTATCAAATGAAGTCCATACAAGATATCAACAAGCCTTCATTATGATTTCAAATTATCAAGCAACTCATTTATGGGAAATGAACTGAGTTCAGAAACACATTTTAAACCTTGTTATTAAACATGCTACAAGCATATTGGAACACGTTCATTTTGTGGCAGACATTGCTTTCGAGAGTCTGAAGAATAGGTGGGGGATTGATAAAACAGCAGCATATAAACGCAAGAACTAACACACACACACACACACACACACACACACACACACACACACACAGAATCAGAAAATGGAGTGGTCAGTCGCTTAAAATGAACAATAAAAATGTCGGATGTTGACAATGCTGATAAGTTCACTGATGCTTAACAACTTGAAGAACAAATGTAGAAATCATTTTTATGTCTGAAAATAATAACTGTATTGAAGCAATGACCCATAGGCTTAAATAGTGTCTGTGTAAGACGGGTATTTATCATACATTTCAGTGTCACCACATCTGGAGGTATTTCCGACAGTCAAGTTGAAATTGACGTGAGTGCTTATAACTTTTGTTTTCAATCATTTATCAACAAGTTTGTGAAACAGTTATAACCATACCGACATGTTTGTTCCAGGTCATTCAAACAAAGAAATCATTTGCATTCGGAACAGTAGTGGACTGCAAAGAGTATCTCAATGGCGACCAGAGATACATCAACTTCCTCAACAAACACTTCAACTGGGGAGTTACTGGGAATGCGCTCAAATGGGATTTAATGGAACCCCAGAAGGTAACACTGCGCATGACTGGTCTAGTGGCTTTTAGTTTCATTGGCTTTATTAACTTAGAAACATGATGGACGTGGACCCCTTCACCACACTGACAGAAAGGGGACGGGTGCGCAGGAAAACGGGAAGCGGGCAAAGAAAACCAAATAAGTCAAAAGTAACAAACTTTCTTAATCATGACACGGTTTGTTTACATGATGTCCCATATTCCTTGGAATAGTAATGATGTCCAGCGTCCTATGCTCAAGAAACGTAAGCCCCTTATGTATGTGTGAATGTTCATGAACAGAAAATACTACGTACGTGTCATAGGACTTTGTCCTGTTTTTCACTTTCTGATATTCCACTCCATGATTCCTGAGCGAGAAAGGAAAGCCATACGTAACAGTGTCCTACCAGAGTCATCGAAATATGCATTGATTTGCCGTACTCATTCACTCCAAGACGTAATCACAAAAACCACAGTTGTTATAAAAAGAACGCCCTAAGTAGTACACGCCCTAAGAGGGAGAAGGTGGTATGTTGCTCGACCTGGGGGTGAAGTTCAAAAGGTGTTCTCATCACCCTTTTATAGTGTAGTACAGATTTTGCCATCATTTTGAATGCCTCGGTGCATGTAGTTTCGTAGGTTAGCACATTCATAACACATGCTCTTCTCACTGTTACTTACTAAAAATGAAATATGACAAATCACCATTGTTCTATAACAGGGCCAAATCGATTATGACACAGGCATCAACGCTGTCAAGAAGCTGAGGTCCAATGGGTGAGACACATATTCGAGCATATCTCTTGTTTTCAGTTTATATTCTGTTACTTACCTTTACAATCAAGCCACACGTAATGTAAGTATTTAGGGCTTTCGTCATCATTTTTCTCGGTGAAGTATAAGATTTTTAGAATGTGAATTTATCACGGTCATCACCCAGATGTCCAAGGAATGACCGCTACACTAGTTCATAGCATGTATGTCGCTTTATAATCTCTTGGCAAGAAAATATTTAATATTTGAAATACTTTCTGTTTTCAACCGAATGATTGGTAATTTCAAATACTTTTTTCACTGTGGTGAAAACTCACATTCCTAACTTGTTTCAGTGAGTGAGTGAGTGAGTGAGTTTGGTTTTACGCCGCTTTTAGCAATATTCCAGCAACATCACGGCGGGGGACACCACAAATGGGCTTCATACAATGTACCCATGTGGGGATTCGAACCCGGGTCCTCGGCGTGACGAGCCAACGCTTTAACCACTAGGCTACCCCACCGCCCCTCTAACTTGTTTGAAGCAAGTGTTGAAACATATTTTGAACTCCTATAAAAAACATCGTACACACTAGTATGGCATTTGTATGGATTACAATTTTATATCATGATAATGTGCCAACAACAGCATTAACACAAAAATGATATTGCTAAGGTACAGATATGCTTCTACATAAAAACGGCAATAATCTACACTGGTGTGTTTCTCCGACAGAATCAAGGTGCGAGCTCACAACATTGTCTGGTCTGTGGATCAGTTTGTTCCGTGGTGGGTTAAACCCCTTCGTGGTCAGACACTGAAGGACACAGTAAAACACAGGATTCAAGACATTGTTGGACGAACTAAGAACCTGTAAGTTCTAACATATCAAACACATTAATATATCGGTTTACCGCGAGGCTCTTTACTCATAGTGTTAACTCAACACATGATCTGACGTTACAGCGTGGAACACTGGGACGTTGACAACGAGAACCTCCACGGCTTCTGGTTCCAGAACACTCTCAACGACAGAGACTACAACCTAGAAATATTCCGTATCGCTCATCAAGCTGGTCCCAATGTTAAAATGTTCCTCAATGACTACAGTGTTGTGTCTTCGGGCGGGATGACTGGGGTAAGACTAGAGACAATCTTCCTTTAGAGAAGAGGTTCTAATTGTGCTAAACAACAGGTTATTGGAGACTGTTTTTCTTACAAAAGACATGTTACAACAGTCAAACACAATTCGTCAATTAATCATTTCAGTTATAACTACGGATGAATAAAAACAAAATGGCGGAGGGCAATATTTCTATTTTTTGCTGATGATAGTTTTTATGGTTTACTTTCCTACCCAGGCATACCGTGACCAGGCTATCAGGTTCAAGAACGCAAACGTCGGCCTCGGTGGAGTCGGTGCCCAGTGTCACTTTGGAGACAATGTTGAACCGGACCCAACACTGATCAAGGTAATGCGAACCCAAAGGAAATATCGTTATTCTTTGTGCCTGTGGATCGTCTGGTCCACTATCACTGGAGTGTCAGGCCTCAGTAGGTTTCCACCGTCGTACAGCAGGAACACTGCTATGCAGCACCAGCAACAAATATAAGCGACAAAACCCATTCTATATCCGTAATCTCTGCTAAAGGCTGAGTCAATTGTGCAGTTGTGACTATATCATGAGTATATATTTCGTTCAGCTGTACAATGTTGTTTGTAAACACAATCCAGTGATTGTCACCATGCGGTAGGATGTGATAGCATGTGTTTATGAATCACTGTGAAATAATGATGATATCAGGTGTTCGCGAAAAGGTAAGCGTATCCTGTCCCACGGGTGGCACCCGTCATAAACATATGCTAAGTGTAGTCGGGAACGTTTGGTATAAGTCAAAATTGGGAATTGCATCGGACATCATTTTTGTCACTGATGCATGAAATTTGGAAATTTCCTCCATATGTCCACCATAACACTTCTTGACAGCTTTACTGAGGCCTTGAACCTTTATATGCAAATTGTGGGATTGACTACTCTCAGTGCAAAACACGTTTTCCTCTATTGTCAATCTGATTCAGCAGATAATACCCATTATACAGAGATGTGACATATTCAGTAGATATGTATGGCACAAATTATTATAATTAGTTAAAAGATTACGATGAGGATGTTGATTAAGGTGATACAGGGAAACTGGCAATTACATCACATGTTATGAAGTATTATTCTTACGATAATGGTGATGATGATGATGTTTCTTCTTCACCATTCCACGATGTTGGTGATATTGATACCAATGTGTGTAATGTTTTGTGAATATGTAATAATGTGATGTACATACTATGTGTTTGCCATTATCTGACGACTATGATGATGATGATGATGATGATGATGATGTTCTTCACCATTCCTCTATGTTATCTGTCAGGAACATCTAGATACCATCGGGCAAGCTGGCGTTCCTATCTGGATCACGGAACTAGATGTGACTAATTCTGATGAACACAAACGAGCAGACTGGTACGAGACAGCTCTGAGGGCGTTCTATGGCCACCCAGCTGTTGGGGGAGTCATGTTCTGGGGATTCTGGAGTGAGAGGCACTGGAGGGGAGACGCGGCCGCAATGGTATCCGGAAATGAGTTCAGGGTAGGCATTTCAAAAGGCATACTTTAGAAAAACTTCATTCAGGTATTTCAGTCATAAAACGAATATGTTATCACAGAGCACATGAATGTATCAAGATAAAAATGTTTTTGTTGAGGATGAAGCGTAAACATGAATAAATGTCTCGATCCGAAAATATAAATGGCAGTTAAAAACTTATTTTAAACTTTTGCGATGGACTTAAAACCAATTTAAACTTTTGCGAAGGACTGCTGTAATCAAAAGTAATAATTTGTAAGAGATAATACATCTACAGTGGCTCTTTTATACATTATTTGGATCGCAGATAGAGATAATTATGCAAATGAATGTGGGAAAATACTGCTATATAACATGTTGCAGTTGAACGCCGCCGGTCAACGTTTCCTGGACCTCACAGAGAAAACATGGATGACAAACGAAACACACAAGCTCTCGCAATCTGGCAAGAACTTTAAAGTCCGCGGTTTCCATGGCGACTACACGATTAAAGTCAAGGTCAACGGGAAGGAAGTTACCTCCCTCGCGCAGTCATTTACCTTGGGTAAATCGGCTCACACTGTAAACCTCCGCGTCCATCATTAGTACGATCACTGTGAATAAAGTGCGTCAGGCCTATTGTGTGTGTCTTTTTTATGATGAGTTAGTCACTGCATGCAGGATTCATTTGTTATTCCAGACCAGTTGCTGAGTGCATCGGCCATTATCATTCAAAACAGTGGTGACATATAAAACGGCACATAAGTTGAATGTAAAGCAGTCGCCGTTGTCATGAATGCCATTGTTACTATGGAACAAACATAATTCTGATTGGTCAATAAGAGGTTTTTAAATCTAGTAATTGTTCGTCGAATTCATGTTTTAAAAAAGTAAAATATTAAATCAAATAAATTCTATCCGAATCCCTAGTTCTGTTCTCGTAATGAATAAACAATGTATGCAAGTTCGTTCCTCGTCGCTTCTTACAGTCTACCTAACGCCAATCAAACCGCAAACATCTGAGATATGATTGAAAAGCACACGACCAACCCGGGCTTGTTTTCACTTCAGATTCGTGAAAATGAAACCATTGAAGTATTTACAATGATGATCTGAAAAACATTTTCACATTTGCTTGAACCACTTCTATTTCTATCACGATCCTGTTTAATCACACGAACCTTAAACCGGCATTAAACATTATCAGAGAGAGAGTGTGTGGTTAATGTTTAACAACACTGTACCGATGTCAGGAAACCTTTTGAAAGTCATGTCGCCCTGGAAATGATATGGTACTGACAGCAAGGTTACTAATCAGGGCAAATCCGGGATTCGAACCAGCAATCAGCGGATCCTTGGACGAGTAAGCAACAACTCTGAACGCGAACAGCGACGCCATGGATAGGCAGGAGACCAGTGTCTTCGATCTAGTTTCCTACAATCGCACCTTAGGAGATAAGAAGCATTTCACAGAACAGATGTTGACAACTCAAGGTAGCAGCAGGTCATTAACTAGGACACCTATGTCTATAAATACGGACACTGAGGCCCTGCTGTGTTAGAGACAAGCAACATCTGACTGTGTATTGATGTTTACCACATCTGTGATGAAGTGGACTGTATTGGTCAGTATGTTGCACCTGGTGTTGGGGCAGAATCTGTTACTAAATGGAGAGATCGAGTCGATGACCCACTGGGACTGCTGTTGCTTCAAATGCGAGTTGACCACTGTCCATCATCAAGGACAACATGCTATCAAGGTCACAGGAAGGTGAGGTGGGACAGCTGTCTGTAGTCTCTCCTTATTTGGTTATCATGTTATATATTTCAGTGAAGCTAAGTTTGACACCATGGTACATATAACGTTCTTCTAACTGCATAATACGATCAGGCTATGACAATTTAGCGTCGAATCTTCATTAAATCTTAGTAAATTCCTCACATTCGAAATAGAATAAGCCTATCTTGTGTTATGTAACACAAAAGAATATTTTAGTTGTTGTTAATTATATATGAAATATACTGATTTTTTATTCAAATAAATGGCATTACTTAATCAGATTAATGATTGTTTTTCAAGAACACAAGACTGGAATGGTCCGTCCCAGACGTTGGTTAATGTCAAGCCAAGTGGCCGGTACCGCGTCTCTGGATATGCAAAACTATTAAATGACCTCCCTAATGAGATCGGTCAGAATATCGGGATGGACGTAGAGGTTACGTTTAATGGTAATATAGAGAGCGAGTGGAGTGAGTGAGTGAGTGACTATGGTTTTACGCCACTTGTAGCAATATTCCAGCCATATGGCTGCGGGGAAAAACAGAAATCTGCGACTGTCGTAAGCCAGTGTTATATAACAAACTTATGATACAGGCCCTGGCATCTTGAGATAGCATTAGTCTGATCCGTGATGCAACTGGAAAAATGTTCAAAACGACGTTCGGTGACTCGGGTCTTTATTTATGCATTTGAGGCCAGTGGCCCATACACAAGAACAATGTCTTACAACAATGATGGATCATGTTGATATATGTATAGGATATAAATAATCCTTCATTCAAGAGATCTCTTCGAGGTACTTACTCCAGGGACACAACTGATGAGTCAATTTGCATGTAACACATATATAAGTTTGAATCAACGGTTAGATGTCCAACGCTTGGATTCACAATGGCATTATATCCTTATCCTTGCCAGATGGGAGGAAGACGTATATATCGGCCGCTTTCAATCCGCTGACCAGGGTCAGTGATGGCTGGGTTCACGTCAAAGGAGATTTCGACATTCCGGCACAAGGTTAGACCATCTAGGTTTTGACAGACACTTGATTCCCCTTCATTCAGTGTGAACTAAAACTGCTGAGAACTTATGGACAAATCAAGATGTCGTCTTGAAAACTAAGTTGTATTTCATGGATGTGTATTAAATTCTAAACTTCAAGTATTCATTAAACGATTTAATAATATAGTCCATTTGGAAGTGAGACACATAAAGGATAGAATTTATACACATCAGTCTTAGATTATATGGAACTTCTTACAGTATACAGGTTGACGTCCATACATTCTATCCTTGATGCTTTAATAACATGATGATAAAACTATACAACAAGGATATTAATAGACATGTCGTCCTGTGTTAACGTTGTTGTACTGTGCACTCAAATGTGAAGTCGTCCTGTGTTAACGTTATTGTCATGTACATCCAGATGTGAAGTCGTCCTGTGTTAACGTTGTTGTCCTGTACATCCAGATGTCAAGTCGTCCTCTGTTAACGTTGTTGTCATGTACACCCAGATGTGAAGTCGTCCTGTGTTAACGTTGTTGTCCTGTACACTCAGATGTGAAATCGTCCTGTGTTAACGTTGTTGTCCTGTACACCCAGATGTGAAATCGTCCTGTGTTAACGTTGTTGTCCTGTACACCCAGGTGTGAACTCGTCCTGTGTTAACGTTGTTGTCCTGTACACCCAGATGTGAAATGTGAAATCGTCCTGTGTTAACGTTGTTGTCCTGTACACCCAGATGTGAAATCGTCCTGTGTTAACGTTGTTGTCCTGTACACCCAGGTGTGAAATCGTCCTGTGTTAACGTTGTTGTCCTGTACACCCAGATGTGAACTCGTCCTGTGTTAACGTTGTTGTCCGGTACACACAGATGTGAACTCGTCCTGTGTTAACGTTGTTGTCATGTACATCCAGATGTCAAGTCGTCCTCTGTTAACGTTGTTGTCATGTACACCCAGATGTGAAGTCGTCCTGTGTTAACGTTGTTGTCATGTACATCCAGATGTGAAGTCGTCCTGTGTTAACGTTGTTGTCATGTACACTCTGATGTCAAGTCGTCCTGTGTTAACGTTGTTGTCCTGTACACCCAGATGTGAAGTCGTCCTGTGTTAACGTTGTTGTCATGTACATCCAGATGTGAAGTCGTCCTGTGTTAACGTTGTTGTCCTGTACACCCAGATGTGAAGTCGTCCTGTGTTAACGTTGTTGTCCTGTACACCCAGATGTGAAGTCGTCCTGTGTTAACGTTGTTGTCCTGTACACTCAGATGTGAAATCGTCCTGTGTTAACGTTGTTGTCCTGTACACCCAGATGTGAAATCGTCCTGTGTTAACGTTGTTGTCCTGTACACCCAGATGTGAAATCGTCCTGTGTTAACGTTGTTGTCCTGTACAGATGTGAGATGTCCTGTGTTAACGTTGTTGTCCTGTACACCCAGATGTACACCCACAGATGTGAAATCGTCCTGTGTTAACGTTGTTGTCCTGTACACCCAGGTGTGAAATCGTCCTGTGTTAACGTTGTTGTCCTGTACACCCAGATGTGAACTCGTCCTGTGTTAACGTTGTTGTCCGGTACACACAGATGTGAACTCGTCCTGTGTTAACGTTGTTGTCCTGTACACCTAGATGTGAACTCGTCCTGTGTTAACGTTGTTGTCCTGTACAACCAGATGTGAAGTCCAGTAGGTTGTACTGGCAGGGGCCTTCCCCCGGAGTCAACTTTGTCGTGGATTCCATCTCATTGACGGATCTAACAGAAAACACCAACTGGAGGGGCGAGTCGGATGCAGTCATTGACAGAGTCAGGAAGAGCGACATCAACTTCAAGTAAGAACATTTCATATCCATATATTAAGTAGAGTACAGGACACAGGTTTTCACAGGAGTCTCCTGCTATTGTCTTTTACACGGCAGGAGTGCTGCAGTGCGGGCTCAGGTAAACAGTTTTGCACATTTTGTGAATGGCGGATATTACCGGTAGGGCAGGACATGCTTGCCCTTTTCATGAATAACCGGTATTATCATATATTCTTCACAGCTATGTTCCCTTCAAACCAAACAGAATTTGTTTTTAAAGATAGTCACGTCACTTAAACATTGATGTCTATTTTTGTTATCCAATTATATCATTGATGACAAGTTTTGACTCGCCCAAGGTTCTCAAGAAAATGTGAGGAACACTACTGTATCCCCAGGTTAGAACTTGGTCGTAACAAGCACTTGGAAACAGAGTATATAAATGTTAATTGGCTATTGAAAATATATTTAGTATTACATACGTATGTAAAAATATTTAAATTTGATGTTGCTTACAGAATACAGAGCGGTACATGTCATATGGTTTACATAAATATTGTTACCGATGAGGATATAAATTTAGATTGGACAAAGGTACTGACCTTTCAGCATGAGCCTCTTCAAAAGGTCACACAGAATGTTGCATCCATTGGTCTCTCTCCATGCATCTTCCTTTGCTCAGGAACGTTAGACGCCTCATTCCAATAGTACATATCCCAGTGTTCACGCAGGTGTTATGTACAAACCCAATCTATATACATGTAGTAGTGTGTGGTGTATGTGCATGGATATGTTGTGTGTTGTTTATTGATCTATATGATATATATTATTATATATATGTAACAGATGTCGAAATTTTACATTATTAAGATCATTGAAGTAGCATACGGGATATTTATTCCATACAAATAAAGGAGATATTCATCCTAGCTTGAATATTACACGTCTCGCATGTTTGTTGTGACCGTGGGGTCTTTGAATATCGCCCGCTATCGATGCATAGGTCATGGAGTGAATACCCTCCGATATATCTTTATATCTTTATATCCGATATATATTTATATCTACTTTGAAAAAATACTGATCAGAACAGATCTGATCATGTGCATGAGTGTTCCATATGCAATGGTGGCTCTGATGTGCTACCAACGTTCATATTCCTTTTGTACTTCATTTTTAATTGTGGACATTAATGTCTTTATTTTCTCTTCCAGGGTTACACTATCTGGAGATGTAAAGTCCGACGATGTTGAAATAGACGTATGTATGTCATTACAGAATGATGCAGCACTGTCTCATATAGTGACCGTCGGACACTGCTGTGAATCAAAGTGGCATAATGATAACACGTCCACAGTGTTAAACCCCCGCCAGAACGATACACAGAAACTCATAAAATCGGGATAGATACATGGGTAGAGAGAGATATGTTATTTTAGAGAACAAGAGTAAAAAATGTTTCACCTTTTTCGAACTCATTGAGATCCGGGGTAGAATAGGTCTTCAGCAACCCATGCTTGCCACCAAAGGCGACCATGCTTGTCGTAAGAGGCGACTAACGGGATCGGGTTGTCAGGCTCGCTGACTTGGTTGACACATGTCATTGGTTCCCAATTGCGCAGATCGATGCTCATGCTGTTGATCACTGGGTTGTCTGGTCCAGACTCGATTATTTACAGACCGCCGCCATGTAGCTGGAATATTGCTGAGTGCGGCGTAAAACTAAACTCACTCACTCACTCACTCGAACTCATCGTGTCATCACTGATGGTCCATTCGTATTTTTGTCATCGCTATTTTGCACCCAGTGGAATCTGATTCGTTGGATAATCAAGATTGTTTTTTTATACTTACAATTATAGTTTATACTTACCTGACAATAAACCTGATCGCTGCCTAGTTGTAATCCTACTTCTATGTCGTATTGAGGTCATACAAACAAAGAAGGCCTTTCCGTTTGGCACTGCCGTGACGTGCAAAGACTACCTCAACGGTGACCAGAGGTATCAGGATTTCATCAACAAACATTTCAACTGGGGCGTGACACAGAACGCAATCAAGTGGGACCTGATGGAACAACAACAGGTGTGTTCTTGCTCTACCTTTAATTGAACATACGTGATAAAGACAATTAAAACATGATTGTATACAGCTATGTATTCGTGTGGTTTTACATCAGGATCATTGTATTACATTTTCCATCCCAGGGTCATATAGATTACGACACGCCGATTAACGCAATCAAGAAGCTCAGATCAAATGGGTAAGTTCTGATGTTGTGTTATTCATAATGTAAAGTGCTGTTTACAGCTTGTTCAACATCATGATAGAGATAACATAAACTCATTGGAATAAAGTCATTAAAGTCTTATAAAGTCTGATATTATAAATTCATTATTTAAACTTGAGAACATACACTCATCAATTGAAGCTGATCAGAAAAACAAATCAGTCCGGAAGAACTTTTTGTTCAGTGTCACTTCAGGCTCTTACAAGTAAATAGATATGTAAGCCACTGGTTATCGTGATATTTAGTATATTTCTGAAATTATTGTTTTCAGTAGCTTTAATTAAAATCCAACCATCATCAACACAAGTATTTAATCTTTCCCTTTGTCAGGTTGAAGGTCCGCGCCCACAACATCGTATGGTCTGTGCCGCAGTTCGTCCCCCAGTGGGTTCGTCCCATGACAGGGAATACCTTGCGGCAGACTGTCCATTACAGGGTTCAAGACATCGTCAACAGAACCAAAGACCTGTTCGTTACCATTACACTTATAGCTTTTTACCCCACACGTTCTCCGTCCCTTTGTTTAAGGAAGCAATGAGACATAGCGAAACCCGCTAAATCAGAGGGTTGACATTTACAACAGTTTTGACTTACGAATCATGAAAACTCCCCTTTAACTGTATACACACATTCCAAACTGTGGCTGTCATGAAAACGTTGTTCAATGGTCCTCAAGTGGTTTCAGGTTTTTGCGTTTCGCATCTTTTGATGAATTTTAATATTTTCTTCTGACCTTTAAAATAGTTTCGTCAATAACACGATAACTCCATGTAGCGTACCGGGGCGGTGGGGTAGCCTAGTGGTTAAAGCGTTGGCTCGTCACGCCGAGGACCCGGGTTCGAATCCTCACATGGGTACAATGTGTGAAGCCCATGTCTGGTGTCCCCCGCCGTGATGTTGCTGGAATATTGCTAAAAGCGGCGTCAAACCAAAACTCAGTCAGTCAGTCAGCCATGTAGCATACCACACATCTGAATGTACAGAACGTTGGACTATGTGAAACAAATGGTACCCATTTCAACTTTGGTTTGGGAGAGACGGCATTAATTTTACACTGGTGCACATTTACTAGGGTCGAACACTGGGACGTCAACAACGAGAACCTCCACGGCTTCTGGTTCCAGAACACTCTCAACGACAGAGACTACAACCTAGAAATATTCCGTATCGCCCACCAAGCTGGTCCTAAAGTGAAGCTGTTCCTCAATGACTACAACGTTGTTGCTGATGGAGGGTTCACAATGGTACGTGAGGGGGTTTGTCCAGAAATATTCACCAAGAAAGGTACAGTCCATGCTGGACCCTCGTGAAGACCAGCAAGCATCTGACTTGTACCAAACTTGTACCCATAAATTGTCTTTTTCATTTTAGCCTTTGCTTTTGTTTATGCAAGGTGCCACCGATGGGGCAGGATATGCTCATCGTTTCGCAAACACCTGATCTCATCACTATTTGATAGTGAGGCATAAACACATGTTCATGATATAGTCGGAATCGTACAATCGCACATATATTATCATTTAGAAATATTCTGTATATCATGTTTCAGGCATACAAGAATCAAGCTATTCGCTTTAAAAACGCTAACGTTGGACTGTATGGAGTCGGTGTACAATGTCACTTTGCTGACAATGTCAAACCAGACCCAACGCTGATCAAGGTACGCTGTTCATAATTGATTTGCACTATTGTATTATTCCGTATGATCGTGTGATTATACTGAGTCAAAAAAGAAACTTCACAAAATGTAATTTGAAAAATAATGAATAATTTTTCTCTGATGATACATCTATGTATCCGAAATTGGATCCCTATCTTTCGACTCTAGAAAAACGTTAGCAAAACCCACTCGAACCCATCCATTCGTCGTGCAAATGACGTTAGTGCCAAATCAGGTTTTGCACGTGCAGTCGATCACGTGATCTTCGCATCGAAGTTTTCTTCATATGCACGTGTTTGCATTGGCCTCAAGAATTGAAAAAACACTTTTAAACCACAGTTCTAACGGTACTTGAAATGCCACGATTGTCAAATGTGCAACGTGAACGTGCCGTTGGCATGTTGCAAGCAGGAAGATAAGTTATTGACGTCGCAAGAGCAATGGGATGCAGCCGCCGTACTGTGTATGACTTGCGAGGTCGTCTACAACAAACTGGCACCACTTCTGATCGCCCAAGGTCGGGTCGTCCACGTGTGACGTCACGAGCAGAAGACCGTCAAATCGTCCCACGTCACCTACGTGACAGATTTCTGCCGGCTACACGAACCAGGGCTGAGATGTTTAGAGGCCGACTGTCCTCACAGACCATTCGAAATCGGTTGCGGGCTGCCAATCTCCATTCTCGACGTCCATATCTTGGGCCAATATTGACGCCGTTTCATCAATGTCAACGTCCGCTGTGGGCCCAACGTCACCTCCGATGGACCCAGAGAGACTGGAACCGAGTCGTCTCTAGCGATGAATCCAGGTTTACCCTCAGATTCGCGGACGGCAGGCATAGAGTCTGGAGACGCCCAATGTTGTGTACAGGAAGTCGACAGATTCGGGGGTGGAAGTTGCATGGTGTGGGGTGCTTTCTGTGGGAACAACCGTTCCCGACTTCTGGTCATCCGTGGAAACCTCACAGCTGCTGCTTACCGCGACCAGGTGCTCACCCCTGAACTGGTTCCTTTCATGGCGGCTCATGGCCCAGGTCTACAGTTCCAGCATGATAATGCTCGGCCGCATACCGCGATGTTGACACGAAATTTCCTTCAAAACGCTGGAATCAACGTCATGGACTGGCCATCGAGGTCCGCTGACCTTAATCCAATAGAGCACGTTTGGGATGCACTTGGGAGAAGGCTTCGTGGTCTTAGGAACCAACCTCAGAATTTGCAGGAACTTGGCGCTGCCTTGCAAGAGCAATGGCGCAGAATCCCCAACCACGTGTTCACAAGCATCATGCTGTCGATGAGGAGACGGCGTTTGGCAGTGGTGAATGCACAGGGGGGCCATACACGATATTGAACTGAGAAATTTCGCATTTTTATTCTTGTGACTTGACATTCTGTATACCCATGTTTTGGAACAGCGGTGTAGCCTAATGGAACTGATTATGGCACTGTCAGTGTATCGAGTACATCACACAGTTCTCAGCAATGAAATAATAACAATTTAACCATCTTACCATCTCTTGTTCTTTTATAGTGCCCTGAAGAAAGAATGTGACGTTTCTTTTTTGACTCAGTATATATTATTCAGTAACAACCTATACGTATGGATATGTCCTTATATACTTTGCAAATAATGCGATTTTAGCTCTATTCACCAATACCACGGCGTGTTGTGTGTGTATTAGAGAGAGTGCAAGCGTACGTAGTAAATCATCTGCGTTGAGCACAACAGTATCACTCCTGTCCCTACTGCTGCAGGAGCATCTGGACACCATAGCCCAGGCTGGAGTACCTATCTGGGTGACGGAGTTGGACGTGTATCAGACAGACGAGAAGATCCGGGCCGACTGGTACGAGACGGCTTTCAGGGCCTTTTACGGGCACCCTGCTGTCGAAGGGATCATGTTCTGGGGGTTCTGGAGCAATAACCATTACCGTGGAGAACCTGCTTCCCTCGTCACCGGCAGCTCCTTCAGGGTACGTACTTGCTCCGTCGTCATCGACAGCCCCTTCAAGTACATACTTGAATCCTCGTCACCGACAGCTCCTTCAGAATAATTGCTTAAACCCTCGTCACCAGCGGTCCTTCGTGGTATGTACTTGAATCCTCGTCACCGACAGCTCCTTCAGGGTACGTACTTGAAACCACGTCTCCGGCAGCTCCTTCAGAGTACGTGCTTAAACCCTCGTCACCGGCAGCTCCTTCAGAGTACGTGCTTAAACCCACGTCTCCGGCAGCTCCTTCAGAGTACGTGCTTAAACCCACGTCTCCGGCAGCTCCTTCAGGGTACGTTCTTGAACCCTTGTCACCGGCAGCTCCTTCAGGGTACGTGCTTAAACCCTTGTCACCGGCAGCTCCTTCAGAGTACGTGCTTAAACCCTCGTCACCGGCAGCTCCTTCAGAGTACGTGCTTAAACCCACGTCTCCGGCAGCTCCTTCCAGAGTACGTGCTTAAACCCACGTCTCCGGCAGCTCCTTCAGGGTACGTGCTTAAACCCTTGTCACCGGCAGCTCCTTCCAGAGTACGTGCTTAAACCCCTCGTCACCGGCAGCTCCTTCAAGGTACGTGCTTAAACCCACGTCTCCGGCAGCTCCTTCAGAGTACGTGCTTAAACCCCGTTCCGGCAGCTCCTTCAGGTACGTGCTTAAACCCACGTCTCCGGCAGCTCCTTCAGCTTGAACCCTTGTCACCGGCAGCTCCTTCAGGTACGTGCTTAAACCCTTGTCACCGGCAGCTCCTTCAGAGTACGCTTAAACCCTCGTCACCGGCAGCTCCTTCAGAGTACGTGCTTAAACCCACGTCTCCGGCAGCTCCTTCAGAGTACGTGCTTAAACCCACGTCTCCGGCAGCTCCGACAGCTCCTTCCCGGGTACCTCGTCACCGGCAGCTTCAGGGTAAACCCTCGTCACCACAGCTCCTTCCAGGGCGTACTTGCTCGTACCGAAGCTCCTTCCGGTAGCTCCTCGTCACCGGCAGCTCCTTCAGAGTACGTGCTTAAACCCACGTCTCCGGCAGCTCCTTAAACCCACGTCTCCGTCCTTTAAACCCACGTCGTCCGGCAGCTCCTTCAGAGTACGTGCTTAAACCCACGTCTCCGGCAGCTCCTTCCAGGTACGTGCTTAAACCCACGTCACCGGCAGCTCCTTCCAGAGTACGTGCTTAAACCCTTGTCACCGGCAGCTCCTTCCGGGTACGTGCTTAAACCCACGTCTCCGGCAGCTCCTTCAGAGTACGTGCTTAAACCCACGTCTCCGGCAGCTCCTTCAGAGTACGTGCTTAAACCCACGTCTCCGGCAGCTCCTTCAGAGTACGTGCTTAAACCCTTGTCACCGGCAGCTCCTTCAGAGTACGTGCTTAAACCCACGTCTCCGGCAGCTCCTTCAGAGTACGTGCTTAAACCCACGTCTCCGGCAGCTCCTTCAGAGTACGTGCTTAAACCCACGTCTCCGGCAGCTCCTTCAGAGTACGTGCTTAAACCCTCGTCACCGGCAGCTCCTTCAGGGTACGTGCTTAAACCCTTGTCACCGGCAGCTCCTTCAGGGTACGTGCTTAAACCCACATCTCCGGCAGCTCCTTCAGGGTACGTGCTTAAACCCACGTCTCCGGCAGCTCCTTCAGGGTACGTACTTGAACCCTTGTCACCGGCAGCTCCTTCAGAGTAAGTACTTGGATCCTCGTCAGCGGCAGCTCCTTCAGGGTACGTACTTGAACCCTTGTCACCGGCAGCTCCTTCAGAGTAAGTACTTGAATCCTCGTCACTTGCAGCTCCTTCATGGTGCGTACTTGAATCCTCGTCACCGGCAGCTCCTTCAGAGTACGTGCTTAACCCTGGTCACCGGCAGCTCCTTCAGGGTGCGTACTTGAATCCTCGTCACCGGCAGCTCCTTCAGAGTACGTGCTTAACCCTGGTCATCGGCAGCTCCTTCAGGGTATGTGTTTAAACCCTCGTCACCGGCAGCCCCGTCAAGGTATTTTTGAATCCTCGTCACCGATAGCTCCTTCAGGGTACGTTCTTGAACCCCCGTCACCGGCAGCTCCTTCCGGGTACGCACTTGAACCATTGTCGTTGATTATAGACCGCAGGCATTGAATACTGCTGAATACGACGTTAACGAAAACACATACAAAATCCAGTTGTCCTACTTCTATGTTTTCTGTGGGGTCTACAGCTGTAACTTATCTGCCTCAGGTGAATGCAGCCGGACAACGATACCTGGACCTCACAGAGAAACAATGGATGACAAACGAGACTCACGCTTTGTCTCAGACTGGAAATGCCTTCAAAGTCAGGGGTTTCCATGGTGATTATGACGTGATAGTGAAGGTCCGTGGCAAGGAAGTCCCGACCCTTAAGAAGACTTTCACCCTAGGAAAATCGGCTCATACTGTTAATATCAATGTGCACCAATAAAGTCGCCCTCTACATGTATTGTATTCGCACTTCATTTTGTACATGTAAATGCATATATATATACCTACAAATGGGCTCAATATCCAGATCTAAAGCACCACAATTCCCCGTCAAGAGCTACAGGGTCTAACCTTGCCGGCGTCAGAGGTTTTAATATGTTGTGCTTGTTTGTCTGTGGTCCTGGGTGGGAATGACTTGTTTGTAAGTGACTGAGTCCTGGCCACACCTCTTCACATGTTTGGGTTCTATATGTGAGTGGCGTAACCATGACAAAATATTCAGGGCAGTTTAGGGTAGTCGCAATTAACAACATAATGAGGATCATTTCAGAACCTACCTTTATAACCTAATGCGGAAAAAGGAGCCAAGATGATAGAAATAAAGATACATACGTCATCACGCGAGTGTGTTTTGGGATGGTTAATATCCTGCATTAGGAATAAACATTGTATTTAGCGAGCTAAATACATAGTGTGTATTCCTAATGCATGATATCAGCCATCCCAAAACACACCAGTGCGATAACCTATTTATCATACAATGTCATCTTACTTTATGATTTAAAAAAGGCGATTTCAATATTACCACAAATCATGAAACTAAACTTCGTGGAATGTGCACAGATTTCTATGACGTCAAAAATATGTGCGTAGTAATACGTTACGTCACAAACTCGATGACACAATTTTCTCCTGATCACTCAATTAAGTGATCTAGTTTCCAATAAGTTTTTATGATAATGCACGTATTGTTGTCAACAAATCTTAGATTACATTTGAATTTTCTTGGATCAAAGCACTGACAGTACCGTTACCACGGCCGTCAATCCGGACACGATCGCCGATAGATCGGGGTGACGCCATGTTTGTTTACACTGTAAAAATAGTCCCTAAAATTTCATATGATTTCTCTAATTTGCATCGATATCCGTATATGACCCCAACGGATACGGAAAATATCCGTTGGCTTTTCTGCCGAGATCGCTATCCGTTGTATGATAAATGTAATTCCTTTTGGGTGTTTTGAGTTTTACATGTTTTACTTCGTTAAATACAACAGACGAGAAAGGTAAGGTATACGGTGCTGACAGAGTAATGTGTATAATCGGAGCACATGTGGAATTCGTAACTAACATCACTGTTGTCCACTTTTAAAAAATAATTTCATTGTTAAATGCTTTTGAGCGGTTTATGAAGTGGCAGTAAAATCCTCCGGTGTTTTCAGAAGCGTGTTCATTATCACAGTACACCAGGTAGGCAAGTGTAATACACAATGGTTCAAAACCAAAGGACTTTTTTTCAATCGGATATTTGTACAAAAAGAGGAATAAAGACGTTTTTGTGTTTGGTTGTTGTTGGGTTTTTGTGATTGATGGGGCTGTTATTGGTGGTGAGATTTTTGCTTGTTGTTTTGCGTCTTGGTTTTTCTTTCTGGTTTTTGTTATTGTTTTGTTAGATGTTGGGCTGTTAAGTTGTACTTCCGTTTAGTAGAACATGTTCTCAACCAATGCTTAATCCTCTACATACACACTTATTCACACTATATCACAACACAAGTGTTCACCCAGCAGAAAATGGGTACCCGGTTGAATAAAGTCATGTGACTATAACCTTCTAGCGCCGAACAGGCAGTTTTGATTTTCCGGGGTAATAAGAATCAGATTCTGATTAAGCGCCGCGAGCAATCACTTGGTGTTTGGAAACGTGCGCTATAGAATATGACTTATTATTATTATTTTGTATAACATTGCTGATAATGGACTCATAATGCATTTACTCACTAAACAACAGCGCACATCACCATTTGAGTTGGTTGATTTTGTTGTTGTTCAACGCCGCGCTCAGCAATATTCCAGCTATATGACGGCGGTCTGTAAATAATCAAGTCTGGACCAGACAGTCCTCACCATTTGAGGATAGTGAGAGCATAACCGACTTTCATAAAAACCCGGCACTACAAATCAAAAATATATTGACAAACGTTTAGATAGCATTACTGCATTCTGGAGTAAAATCATTGAATCATAATTTAGTAGATCAAAAATGATTCTCTCCCCTGGTCGTTCATTGAAATGGTATGTGTCAAACATCTGCTTGTCTCGAAACCCACCCCTCACCAGCATATATTCTCATATATCAATGGTAATTCCAGGTGGGAAAAGGGACCCTAAAGATCAATAGCATGCTTATCGAAAGAGGCGACAATATGTAACGGGACGTCTAACTCGGTGACTTGGTTGATTCAACACTCACAATAGTCTCTCTAGATTCACAGGTGTCACATCACTCACCCTGATATTCAGTGATCCATTCATATAAGTTGTACATGACTAAGTCCACATTGAGCCAAGATTCAAACCCCTTTCCCCTTTGACAATTCCTGGATCCGTCTATGAGTTTAACCAAACTCATTAACTCTGCAAGTATCATCAATATTCAGAGAACATGTTGAGTCATCGAATCCACCGTATGAGCAAAGGCAAACACAGAATTCACGACCTAAATAAGAATATAACAATAAATCGATATTGGATGTCAAGATTCAAAGTTTATTTAAGGGTTATTTTGGCTTCGATTTCTCTCACTGCAACGGGAGACAGGCTTTCTGGCAGTCGGCGATGTTCTCAAAGTTGTTGGCGTTGCCGTCACACCCGCCGTAGACAAACATCTCACACTTTTGCGAGGTAGGGTTGAAGTGGAATCGACGAAACATAGCCTTGCATTTCCCGATGTCCGGCTTCAGGTTACACACTGCAGAGGGGAATAAAAGTAAACTCATTTCAAACATGCTTTGAAAAATATCTTGGTGTTGATCAGGAAATTACTGGTTTAGTTTGCACTCAGCAATATTCCAGCTATATGGCGGTGATCTGTACATAATCGAGTCTGGACCAGACAATCCATGAGCATCGATCTGGTAACCGATGACATGTGTCAACCAAGCCAGCGAGCCTGACCACCCGATCCTGTTAGTCGCCTCTTACGACAAGCATGGGTTACTGAAGGCCAATTCTAACCCGGACCTTCACGGGTCCAGAAAGTTACTGTGGGACACTTGTTATGGAATATAACCACTGTAAAATTCGCTATCTAAATTGTATCTATATCTAAGGCATAACAAAATAAAGTCGCACTCTGCCATTCCAAACCGCCAATACTGGAAGGGAAACATTAGTAGCCAACCAGGCTTATAACATATAAGATAACTATTGTGCATTTGTCGTATGACCGTCTTTGAAATATGCGTAGAAAGAGCTTGCTCGATTCTACCTCAAAAGCTGTGGTAGAATCGGTCTCTTTCATTTCAATTTCAGATTTGAACGATATCCAGCTATCTTAACAAGTACACAACCAAGCAATTCAAGGAAAACTTAATTTAACTCAAACATCTAAAACAGTACCTGCAAATACAAGGATAATATAAATTACTTCAGCCATCTAAACTCAACCCTAGCAATATTTGGGTAACTTTGAAAACGAAAGTTATCTTTATACATATACATAAAGGTACACGACTAGCTATATCAGAGTCACTTAATATAATTCAGACATCGGAAATAGTACACAACCAAACATTTCAAGGTTGTTTTAATTCAGGTATTTAAAACAATAGAAAACCTAGCAATAATATGTGCAAGATATCTAAGTCGCTACACATCCTATTCATGAATGCAAGGGAGATGTAATGTAGTTCAGTCATACAGTCACGGGAGTAGTATAATGCCGTTCAGTCATACAGTCACGGGAGTAGTATAATGCCGTTCAGCTCTTTACATAGTGTACAGCAATGAGCACTTCAAAGAACAGAGTGAGTGAGTGACTTTAGTTTTACGCCGCACGCAGCAATATTCCAGCTACATGGCGGCGGTCTGTAAATAATCGAGTCTGGACCAGACAATCCAGTGATCAACAGCATGAGCATCGATCTGTGCAATTGGGAACCAATGACATGTGTCAACCAAGTCAGCGAGCCTAACCACCCGATCCCGTTAGTCGCCTCTTACGACAAGCATAGTCGCCATTTGTGGAAAGCATGGGTTGCTGAAGACCAATTCTACCCCGGATCTTTCAAAGAATAGAAAAGAATCGGTAGTATGTATCCTACCTGCTTCGGGGGGCTTTGCACCTTGAAGAAATACAAGAAAAGAAGCAAACGGTAATGTCTTTGTCTAAAATAGCACACGAGCTAGCTATAAACATAAGGGGAAAAACGCCTGTCATTAAGAAAACTGAAACAAAAGTAGATCACAACCTAGCAGTACATTTAGAGAAACATGGGTAAATGCTACCCACTGAAATAATCGAGTGAGTGAGTTTAGTTTTACGCCGCACTCTTTATGACGACGGTCTGTAAACAATCGAGTCTGGACCAGACAATCCAGTAATCAACAGCATGAGCATCGATCTACGCAAATGGGATACGATAACATGTCTCAGTTAAGTCAGCGAGCATGACAACCCTATAGCGCACTGAAATTGAGCCTCTTTATATCATGTACAAGACTAGACAGTCTAAAGAAAATATAGAGTCGGTAGTGTGTATCTTACCTTCATTGGCGGGCTCTGTACCTAGCAAAACGAGAAGAGAAGCATAGAGTAATGCCTCCATTTACAGCAGTAGTAGAACAACAAGAAGAAAAATGTCAATCTTTCACAAATAGGCGGTGTACTGCTTATACAAAATACAGGCAAAGGTTACTTTAGTATTCACCTGAACAAATTTAACCTCAAAAGTTGAGAACAGGTGTCACCCTTCATGGGGCTAGTAGTTTGTCACTGTAAGTAATTATGCACCTCCCGATATATGAAACAAATGAGGCGGATTCCCTGATCTTTTTCATTCCTAGATCATATAGGTTGGGGAAGGGGAGAGAAAGAATTGATATATGACCATATTAAAGAATTGATATATGACCAGCCTAAAGAAAATATAGAGTCGGTAGTGTGTATCTTACCTTCATTGGCGGGCTCTGTACCTAGCAAAACGAGAAGAGAAGCATAGAGTAATGCCTCCATTTA